GGCGTAACGTATACAATAAATACCATTTTGATATTACGCCTTGTATTTTATATTATATTCTATTTTATTATAATGTATGAAACTCTTACGGATAAAATATAAGCCTTCATGCGCTCCTACTGGAAGCTTCTTATGAGGATCGAATTACCTAGAACATAGGAAAATTAGGGCACTGCCTGTGATTCAAAATTGTTGGATTTTTCTTAAAAAATAGAAGAAGGAAATAGATTACCATGTTAGCTAGGGACCTCTACATGACTTAGCTTGACCCCGTTTATTGTTTCTTAGGGGGTTATGTAGTACGTAGGTAAGAAAAGTAGCCAGTCCTGGAAATCGGAAAAAAACAAGGGTGACGCACCGGCAGTGCGTACACTTATATATTTACATTAATACTATGTTTCGTAACCGCTATTACTCAAAACTATTAATTAGATCTCAATTGCACCATCGCACATCGCGACAAAACGGCCGATACCATCCATACCATCTAGATGATTGGCGGCCCACCACTGTGCGATTTAGAAGAAGTTTTCTTCCTCGCACAACTTCTTTGTGGAATCGACTACCAGCAGAGGTTTTTCCGGCCCGATACGACTTAGGGATCTTCAAAAAAGAGCCTACTCTGTTTAAAAGGCCAGCAATGCATCTGAAAAATGAGCCGCATGCTCGTTGACCCGCTCTCCTGTATAAAAAAAAACTTCTTAAACGCTTATAATTTTAACCTTTAACGTTTTAGAATTATTAAGGTCTGAAAAGTATCATTTTTACCATTTATTCAAACTCTTATTATAAACCTAGGCCACTTCTAGGTTAAGTACTTACTTAGAAACTTAAAATATGACATCAAAGTCAGATTGGGCGTAAGAAGGAAAAATTATCGATATATTTGGCACCGTAAAACTGTGGACCAGTATCTGTGGGGTTAGTTTCAATTTCATATACTTACAGTAACTTGGAACTTACTGACCGATAAGAATCATCATCATCATCATTACAGCCCTTCACAAGTCCACTGCTGAACATAGGCCTCCTCCAAGTAATGCCACAAAGCACCTGCATCCATCGACTTCCTGCGTAGTGTAGGGTGACCCCCCACTAGATGGAGTGACGACCTGGTAAGACATGCTGGAAGTGGACCAATAATAATGCCGACATTTAGTTGTTATGGTAGCTTAAATTGGAATTTAAAAAAAAACAGTGAAGCGTACGCAAGAAACTTGTTCGCAGGTCATGTCATCTAAATTAATAAATGGATAACACATTTTTTTTCCAAAATTAATGGCATCTCTCTAAAAAAAAAATTGGAAAAAGGAATTCAGTTAGCGCCCGTTCAGATCTCAACTCTTTCATCGATGAAGCCGACAACCCCCAACAAGCATACCGATTATTATTTATTTTGTGGTACAAGCCTGTACTGACGTTTATACGAACTTGGAGGCCTTTTCTGTTTTCTGTGATATTTTTTACACAAAATAACCAGTAAGTTACCTGCCGTACTTGAAGCAATTAACAATTTCCTTGGTGTCTGTGCGATTTAAAATCAAATTTTACATGCACGCGCCTACTTCAAAATTTAACACGGATGGGTGCTTCAATTTTACATAGGCTTTTTTTTAATTAATGGACGGTGTTACAACCTAAGTAGTAAGACGATGAAGATGCAGGGAATCGATGGATTGATGACTCAGGACCGTGTTTTGTTGTCTGTAATGAATCAGTTTATATTTTAATAGACATATTTTTAGATCTGATAAAATTATTTTGTTGTTTTTACTCCAATTTTGACAAACGATTCAATGTGGAAAAAAATAAATTTGATACGCTTCACTCTCATTGTTCAGAACTAGTATATTTTCGTTATTATTTTCCAAATGCGTAAGGGCGGCGGTGAGTCATCCCTCCAAATCTAATTTTATTAGACTTGCTGAAAACGTTTCGCCCCGGCATTACAGAATCAACTACGAGTATAAGAGCCTTATGACTCATAGCAGTAAATTATATCTACCGAATCAAAAACAAGATGAAAATCAAAAGTTTGTAAACATAATTGATATGTCGTATTATATAATAAGTATATTGTAATAAATTAATATAGTAATAACTAGGTATGTTATGGTATGGTGGTAGGAGAGTGATGTCAAGAAAAACAGTGGCATCAACAGGCTTCAGTAAAAAAAAAAATTGATACAAATTTTTAACATTTAATGTCGTACTTAATTTTTTTACTTATTTATACAATGATGTGTCTTACCTGGATTGAAGAGCACCTCCCGCCCTCCCTCAATTGCACCAATCCCGTCACCTCTAGTCCCAGCACCACTACTCCCGGTACCATCACTCCCAACACCCCTATTCGAGGAAAGACACACCATCGAAGATAATATGACACGTGTTTCGCCTCTACACGAGGCATCCTTAGGTTATGTAGACTCTACGGCGGCTGACCGCTAAGTCAAGTTTGACTTAGCGGTCAGCCGCCGTAGAGTCTAGTTGCGAATTAAATATTGATATCTTTATTATAATGAATTTCCGCAAAGTAACGCCTGATTCTATCAATTACCTTATTTATTTTTATTGGCGTATATAATTATGTAGATTATTAACGTTAAAACCATGCACTAATTTTGATACAGCACGAGCTGTGGTAGCTTAGGGGCTAAGCGCTCGCTGTAAACCCAGTACGCGGAACAACGGGTTCGATCCCCGCCGGCACCAATGAAATGGTTAATTGCAATTTTAAGTGCTGATTTACCACATGCTCGCCAGTGAAGAAATCATAGTGAGAAAACCTGCATGTCTGAGAAATAAGAAAAAATATACTTCGAAGATATGTCAAGTTCGCCAACACTCATTGGGGCGGCGCGGCGGACACTTCCTTGTCCTAAAAGCCTAAAAAGCTCTCATAAATGAAAGGATGACTGTGTCTAGCAGTGGGACGCATAAAGGCTGTAACTTTTAACTCTATTATTCTTGATTGACTGGAATACAACTTCGGTCTGAGCAGGGTACTGCGGCGGCGCTGTCGTCGAGCGACAAATGAATAGGACTGAAGCAGAAATCACGCTATCGAAGTTTCTGAAGTACAAGTACTTAATCCAGTATACGGAGCGTTGACCGCTCCCTGGGCTTAGGGGGGGGGGGCAGCGAAAAATCTCCCCTTTTTCTTCCACTGATTTTATCACCAACGGTTCCGTTGTGCCGTCGTTGGTTTTTTTTTAGAGAGAGAGAGGAGGAAATCTTTGAAAAAGGCACCGGTCAAGTTATTGTAAGACCGGTAGTGTGGGATTTTACCCACTAAAACCTCCTCTCTCATAAGTACCCAGGACCACGGGACCGCGTTAGCATTACTTCGTGGTGCTGGTACTCTTCCGTGGCCGTCGTTGGTTTAGTTCATAATACATGCGCGGACATTTAATTAAACGCACAACTTTTACATTCATGTGAAAATATACTTCAAGTGAGCAGCAATCTTTCGGCCGTCAAATTTCCGCCAAAACTCTTCTCTGTAAGGTAATTTTTTCGAATGATTCTAGTAACATATTTTAATACCTACCTATTTTCATAATCTATGTAGACGGGGAATTTGTGTTTTGTTTTCCTCTCTCTCATCTCATTCATTTGTCTGTATCCATCTCTACCTAAGAGTAATTACATACACATACGTATGCTGTATAAATAATTTTTGGAGACACAGATTTAAAAAAGTTTAAATTTGTAGTGCGCATGCGCGGTTTCCGCATACGTCACTGTAGATAATACATAGACATGGGCAAAGTAATTATTTTATCATCTACGTTACTGTTGTATCTGTTACAGAAAACGATACAGTGAAAAATCACCGTAACTTTACTACGTGGATTATGCCGGATATTTGGAATGTAGGAACATCTTTTAGTGGGACTATTTTACCACGATTAAGTAATTGATTCGGTTTTGATTAAGTACTTAGATTGACATTTTTATTACAAACCTAACCTTACTTTGCTTGACATGGCCATGCTATAGTTCAATTTTAGTTGTAATTTAAAAAAAAATTACGAGTTTCATCGAACCTAGCCGAGCGGCCGATGTACCGTGATAGTAGCAATAAGTCATCTCTTTTATTTGATAAAATCTGTGATGACATAACGGAAAAAAATAATAAAGAGGCGGCGTGAAGGAACAAAGTGATTTCGAATTTGAATCGTCTCTTTTTACTAAAATTATATTCTTTTATTCTATGACCTATGTTCGGAAGTTAGTGTATTTGTGACATTCCTTACTAAAATGTCACTGATACTTTAATAAGCGGCTAATCACAGTACCTTTTTCACAGTGAAACCATAACGTTATTTATCGCTTATATCCTCAGCTCATAACTACACTTTGGCAACTGGCCATGTGATATTAAAACCACCAATAGCAGACTTTCGTTTAAAGTGTGTCTTTAGCACACACGTACAAGTTGCTGTTTGTCGAAGCTATTTTCTTTTCTTTTCATTTGACGATTTGATTTGACGTTCACTCCGTCGAAGTCTCGAAGCGTTGACTTCAGACAGCTCAACTCAACTCAACTCGCGAATTATTTGTTATAAAAATTGTGCAAAACTTAGTTAGTAGTTTCTAGTTTACTATTTGCGATTAACTTCAAAAGAACAGTGTTGTTTATAGCGATATAATTAGTGTTAAAAGTTCATGAGTGCGTGCATGCTGTTTTCGCCGAGACCTTGATAACTAGTTTCTTGGACGAGCGAAGAGCCAGTTATTATAGGATCATGCCCGAGGAGGTACGTCTTTAACTTACGTAGGGTTGCGTATATTAAAGTCGACCGTGCGTGTGCTATTTCCTGATTGATCTACTAACAAGTGAGGTTTAGTGTTCGAAAGTTCGTTACAGAGACTATCTGAAACTGCAAAGTGCGTTTTGGTCAGTGTTATAATGACGAAGTTAAAATAATTGTGCGCAACCGAAGGACGGCTGTGAGGTGTCCGCCAGCGAGACACATTCGTTTTATAGTGCGATGGACAACATCGGAGGTAAACATTGTGAAAAAATTGCATGCCTCTCATCTAATTTGTTGTTCGTTGGCTGACAATTGACACCCGCGCCTGGTACTTTGCACATAGTTTATTTTTTGTTTAGCAGTCTAAATCAGTCTTCGAATAGCTAGGTCTTTTCATCAGCACATTTTGCGACGGTACTGTAAATATCAGCTTCCTTCATAGACTGTTACTCAGCTAGGTGAGTGTAGTTCTATAAATATCTGCAACACCGTCAAATTAAAGTACTTTAGGTGTTTAGTTATTTTCTGACTTTTTTACCTTGTTAGTTGTAAAACTTTTTCTTTTTCTAACTTTTTCACTTTATTCTTACTTAGTTGTAGATAATTATCATAGTTCTTTGCTTCTTTAGAATGTAAGGTTAAGTAAAATGTGATCTATATATTTATTTTCTTCTCTATATTTATTGCTATGGTATTGCGAGATGTAGCTTGCAGTAAATTTTAATTAGCACTTCTAATATGTACTAGAAATCTCTTATATGCAGATATTAATAGGCATGATGTATGAATTACCTTATATATTACATATAAATTATTTACTTCAGCTCCTACCTAGTTGCAATAATTAGGAACAATGCATACGGAATCTACTTATTCTATTCTCTCAATGTAATTGTTATGAAGATCTTTTAAGACTTGTGTAGAAGGTGTATAGCCCTCTGGTATGTGTTCATAAGCTAGTAGTACCAGTTATTGAACTCCACCGAGTCAGTAATTCATTCTTGGGGCGATGTATATGGTTTTACAACAAAATCCCAGAAATTATACAAAATTTGACTTGCACAAAGTTAAAAGTCTTTATAAGTATGTATAAAGATGGTTATTATAATATTAAGGAATTTATGGTTGATATTAACCCCTGCAAAAGGTGATCTCTACCAAGCTATTTCTATTTTTTGGTAAATTAAAAAAATTCATTTCCAATAAGTATTATTTATAATCTATATTGAAAAAAAGACAACATCAAAGGAATGGAGGGTCTTTCAGGCACTGCACTTAACTTTTATTTTTGTGTTAAGTGACAAACAAATTTACAGTCCACATGATGGTAAGATGGTTTGGTGGTAGGACTTAGTGTATTTAATAATTAAAGCCCCAACTTCAGAAGTTATTAAGTAGAAATTACTTGTCTTTATTTTAGATTTTAATCACTTTTTACTAAAATTATATTTTAAATTATATGTTGTCCTATAGGAATTGTATCTGAAATTGATAGTCATGTTGATGATTATTTTTTTTACTCTTTTGAGAATAACGAGCTCAAGGTAACAACTAGATTGTCATCTTTACATCCGATCCCTTCAGGGTTTGAAGGTTTTTTTTTATTTTGCACTTTTAGTGATGGAATTTCTTCAATTTTATATTCGACCGGCCCTGAACAGTTCAGCTCATAGATCGTAAAAACATTTTTACTATTTGAGATTCAGCTCGAATGAGCACACCAAAACTGCATGCCTGCCTTAGTTGCCAAACATGGCAGATATGGCAGAATCACTATGACAATAAAAGAAGTTTCTAGTTGAGTAACTGGTATGCTTAACTTGTGCTTGTTCCTAGAATTTGCAGAATGTACATAGCCATTTTCAATATTAAAAAAAATTGATTTTGTACATAATGTACATACATTAAATTTTTGTAAATACACTGAGCCTAAAGTAAATATATTCATTTATTTAAAAATAATCTAAGAGGCTCCTTAGAACTTTGGTTATAAATTGCTGCTTAAGGCTCTTCTCTACAAAACCAAGATAGTTTCAATTTGAGTTGCCTTGCTGCCACATAGCAAGATTCCATTTGAAATTATGCTATGGAAATAACTAAAATAAACTAATTGAACTGTTTGAACATCTGTAAGGCCTCTAATATTGTTACAACATACTGCAGAACTAAGTTTACTAGCTAGTATAGATTTATTGAGGCAAAGTTGTAGACTCTTATGAATGAAAGGATGGATGGATTTCAAGACATTTAAGTCCATTCAAAAGGGTAAAATATCTAACCATTTTTAAAAATCTAGAGAATACAGAGAATATAACATCTAGTTTTGTAATTGTGATGTTGGTTAGACTATAGAATGTCACAAAGAAACAATCATAAGTAGTCATATTATATACTTTGTAAGGTAAAAGATTAGCGTGAACAGACAGACAGAGGGATGGACAAAAATTTTCAAAGTAATTCTTTACGTCTTAATAACCCCAGAGCTTAATAGAAGCCAGTTTTTTTTTTTCAATATTACAACAGACACTTCAAAACCCCCCATAAGTGCTTGGTCATTAGGGTAAAAACAATTTTTATTTAGATAAAGACTTCTTGTATTTACACAAATACAAAACATCGCTAATTTTACTATTTTTTTTAACTTGAATATCGCATTAATATTGAGATGTCGGTGTTGCAAGTGTGTGTTTTACAATATCCCTAGGCCCGGTGATATTGACTACTGCAAGACATTAATGTACTGTGAGTACTATCTGTGTAGATCGGACCAAAAGTAAATAATTAAAATCTACTAGTATTAATGGGCTAACACCAGGCTCATAGCCGAATGCAAAGCGCTCGTAATGGGAAAATTTCAAAATAAGTAAAATGTAAGGTAGAATTTATTTTAATGGTTTCATTTAATACGAGGGTGGATTGAAAAGTACTCGGCCTAACCAAGAAAATAAACACATACTAAATCAGTTATATTTTTATTTTTCTACATAATCACCATCAAGTTCAATACACATTTGCCACCTACCCTTCCAAGCATTTAGACCGTTGAAAAAAAAGATTCTTCCTTAGAGTCAAAATATGCGTCTACAGCTGCTTTGACCTCGTCGTTTGTCGAAAATCTTTGACCTCCCAAGTGCTTTTTTAGGTTAGGGAACAGAAAGAAGTCTGATGGTGCCAGATCAGGTGAATACGGCGGATGCGGTAACAGTTCAAAGCCACAGTTGTGAATTTCAGCCATTGACTGTACTGACGTGTGAACACGGGCGTTATCTTGATGAAACAGGACTTTTCTTCTGAGCATTCCTTGACGTTTTTCTTTTATTTCCTCTCGTAAACGACGTAGTAAGGTGCAGTAGTAATCAGAGTTTATAGTCTGACCCCTTTCAAGATAATCAATCATAATCACACCTTTCGAGTCCCAGAATACTGAAGCCATCACCTTATTTGCCGACAAAATCGACTTAGCCTTTTTTAGGGGTGGTGAACCAGGTCTTCTCCACTGTTTTGATTGTTGTTTTGTTTCCGGTGTACAGTAATGAACTCATGTTTCGTCCATAGTAACAAAACGATTCAAAAAATCATCTGCATCGGCTTCAAATAACTCCAAACAGTCGCGTGAAATAGTCAATCGCGTCCTTTTTTGTTCAACTGAAAGCAGTCGCGGAACCCACCTCGCAGACACCTTGTGGAAACCCAACTCGTTAACAATGATGTTTTGAGTTCGTTCATAAGAGATGCCTATAATCTCGGCTATCTCTCTAATTTTTAATCTGCGGTCTCCCATTATTAAATCAAGTACTTTTTTAATATTTTCTTCAGTAGTTGACGTCGAAGGCCTTCCAGAGCGGGGTTCATCTTTCACATTCTCTCTACCACGCTTAAATTCTGCTATCCATTTTTTGATGGATGAATATGACAGAGCACAATCGCCTAATGTACTGACCATGTCATCATGGATGGCTTTTGATGATAGCCCCTTCTTATGGAGGTACTTAATGACGGCACGCTGCTCGATTTGCTCCATTCGCGGAAATTATGTCCGATTACTTTGTTAATAAATTTATAAAATCACAACTAATTATCGCACACGTTTAGAACTTCACACAATGAACTAGTCTGAACTGAACTAAATAATGTGGGTAGATTTGATTTTTAGAATTGAATGGATCTGTGTTAGGCCGAGTACTTTTCAATCCACCCTCGTAATTTGAATTTTATGCAAGATGACTCCTGATTAGAGAGTATTTTTTTAAATAGAATAAGGCTGTCAAACAAGCACCCGGTCCACCCGATGGTAAGTGGATGCTGTGGCCCATAGACATCAACATTTATCTTCAGTTAGAAATCAAAGTACAGATGTGTTGTCACCCCTGAGGAATAAGATGGAATGCCTCGTTTCCAGTAAAAAGGGCCCCCGGTTCTCTATACTCACCATACGAAACACAGCAACATTGAGCTGTTATTTTGCGCTGGTATTCTGTAAGAGCATGGTTCTACAAAAGTCGAGCCAACCCATTCATGCTGTAACCACAATATAGCTGCAACATGGCTCTACCACGTAAAAGTAGAAAAGTATCTTCTTAGTCACTGTTCTTTTAATGCCTCTAACACAAAAAGGCTGGCCCGCAATTCCCCTGGTGTTGTTGTTGTTCATGGGCGGCCATAACCACTTACAATCAGGTGAGCCGCATACTCATTTGCCCCCTATTCTATTTAAAAAAATCTCTAAATATAAAACCAAGGATCTGTGATGTTTTAGGAACTAAAAGATCAATATGGGTAACAAAATTAAGTTTACAATCTATTATGACACCCAAGTCATGAATGTGGCTTACTTCCTGTAGTGCCTCATTGTTAAGAGTGTGATGTGTGTTTATTTCTTGTAAACCTTATGTGATTACATTTTTTTATATTCAGGGTCATTTTGTTACATACACACCATTTGCTCAATCTATTGAGATCCTCCTGAAGAGAGGTCGAATCACTCATTTCCTTGGTAGGTTTGAGATCATCAGCAAACATGTAAATGTTAGAATTCCTTTCGGAAGTATGTGTCAATGTCATTAATGAAAAGTATAAAAAGATATAGCCCTAGATGAGATCTCTATCGGATACCAAAAAAAGCAGTACAAGAGATTGAACTATAACCATTTGTTATTACTTTAGGCTTTCTGTTTGACGAGTAAGACTTAAACCAACTCAGTAAGGGCTCCGAGATTCCAAAGAATTTAAGTTTAGTTGTTAAGTTGTCATGGTCATCTTGAATATTGTAGTATAGTTTGGACACTGACTTACGAAAATCAGATTGATTTCAAAAGTATACAAAAACAATATTTTAAAGTTCTAGCTTTCTGCTGTAACATGCCTAAAAAACTGAAATCATATGAAAAAGACTTTTAACTTCAAGATGTTAACCATTGAGACTCGCAGAAAGATGCTGGACTTGGTTTTCCTCACAAATTAATTACCGGAAACTTAAACTGCCTTCACTTAGTGTCCAAAATGGCTCTCCAAACTTTCTCGATGGTTTTATTTTCTGCTAAGCAAGTGATAAATCAGCGTTATAAAATTGGGATTATAAATGGGATGAACCAACTGCCTTACGTACCGTGTGACTGTCATGGCTTACTTTTTTATAGAATAAGGTTGACAAACAAACACACAGTCCATTTGATGGTGAGTAGATGCTGTGGCCCATAGACATCTACATCTATCCTCGATTAAGAATCAAAACGCAGATGCATTGTCACCCCTGAGGACTAGGATGGAATGCCTCGTTTCCAGTAAAAAAGGGTCTCCGGGTCTGCGCACTCACCATACGAAACACAGCAGTATTACGCTGCTATTTTACGCTGGTATTCTGAGAGAGCGTGGTCCTTTCCCGGTTGAGCCGACCCATTCGTGCCACAATAATGATATAGCTGCAGCGTAGCTCTACCACGTACAATTACTATTCATACCTGACTAACTATTAGTTTTTAAAGTCTACGACACGAATATTTGCAATGTAATATAATCAATTAATACATTTTCTCAATGTCCGCAGACATAACGTACTTACATTGTCGAAAGGGAAGTTTAAGGAACCATTTAAATATTGTTATATGGCTTTCCTGATGTAGTGACAGCGGAAGCGCCGAAGACTACATGGAGTTTCGTAGTGGTGCCAAATTCCTTTAGAATACGATGATGCAGCATAAAATAAAAAGTGAAGGATTTTTTCTTAGTCGTGACCCTTTTGTTTAGCTATCTTATACGATTCACCCAATGCGGCAGGCGCTTCTTTGAGTGGAATACTCACCACGAACCTACCATCAGATGTTCCTTTATTTAGAAAACAATTTATTTCATCGCTCAAATGGTAATAAGTTTAATAAAAATTAATAAATAAACAAAAACGAGTATATCGATGTCGATTGGACATTAAGAGTGAAATCACTATGGATTGAAGACGTCATGTCTTGTAAAATAACATCACACATAGTACTACTACATTAGGGATGTCATATCTTTAGTAAATTGGAGGATACTGAGTCTTGAAAAGTAATTTAGACAAAGCGAGACAAGTGTATTGACTCAATTTATGTAGCATTGTAGGGTTCCCTCTGTGCTTACGTATGTATGTAATTACTAATTACTCTAAGAAAAGAATTTAAAAAAGGTTTTCTATAACGCACACTGTAACAAAAGTACAATTAACGTGTTACAGTTAAAATTGATGCGTAATTTTTTGTAATCTATTTATACACCAACTGTTATTTGCAATCATTTTATTACTTATCTCATGAAATTAAGTGGCTATTATTTAGATATAGTATTTTATATTATTTATAATTGCTTTTGGTTTTATGGTAACTATTTAAGTCCCTTATTACATTGCTGCTGCTTCCAACTACTCACTATTTATAACTTGTCTGTAGTAATGTGCATGTGTATCGATGTCGATAAATTAAAAGTAGATATATATTTATTACGTTGTAGTTAAGAAAAAAAAAGAAACATTTATTTGACCACCTCACAATATTGAGAAATAGAAATTTGTAAGTTACAAATATGTGTATACTTAGGTACTTTTTATTAATATAGTGTTTTTCCAAATGTTCCTGATCGGCGAAAGTTTTAGGATGCGGACTGCAAACTAGGAGAGTCGTGGGTTCGAATACGTCATTGGACTGCTGTGGTAAACCACACAAGCATTTTAACTCAAGTTAAGTGGCTAACGGAAGTATTAGTAATGATAATAGCGTTACATGTATTCTTTTAAAAATCTGGTCTAATTACCATTTATATATTGTGCTAGGTTTGTCTTTATAGAATAAGGGTGACAAACGAGCATACATTCAACTTGTATGTTAATTGGATGCTGTGGTCCATAGACATCTACATCTAAAATATCGATGCGTTGTAACTTCTGAGGACTAAAATGGAATAACTGGTTTCCAGTAAAAAGAGACTACGGTTCTCTACAGCTCTACACACAGCCGCATTGAGCTGCTATTTTAAGCCGGCATTCTGTGAGAGTGTGGTTCTACCGTGCTCGAGCCGACTCATTCGTGCTACAACCATAATATATCTGCAGCATGTGTTTACCACGTTACTAAATATGAGCATGGACCTAGGCGTTAATATACTCAATAGCCTGATACTGCTATCAACTATCGTCGGGTGAGTAAGGCAAATTCTTCCAACAGTGTAGGTTGTACAATGCACTCTACAGACCGTAGATGATATTTTTCCGGTTATCATTTGTATTTATATAAAACAATACCATATTAGCTGAAGATGATGTTTCTAATTAGTTTTACTGCAGAATCAACTGTTTTTTAATTGGTTTCAAGACTTTTGAAACCAATTAAAAAACAACTTGGGACCAACAGGGCCAACAGCTTTACGTGCTTTCCGAGGCACGGTGGTGAAACACCACCGACTTCCGGACTCCGGTTTTCTACTGAGAATATCTAGAAAATAAAACCCAATAATTGATTTCAACCTACCTGACTGGGTTTCGAACCTGCGACTAGATCAACGAGGCAGTCCTTACATTTTATTAAAAAGATAGACACAAAAGAGATACATTTTGGTGAAGCGCTTATTTTTAGTCGGAACATGTTCAAAAGATCCAAGCTGATTTGACGCTGCACGACTGTAGCTTATTGATGTGTGCTGTTGCAGAGCGCGGCGCTCCGCTCGGCGTAAGTCACAATGGTGCGGACAAGGGCCCCGTCGACCTGAATATTAGCGATATTTGTAAGTAATTACTAATTATTTCATTAATTGCGATAGTTAAAAAATTATGTTTTTTTTGTTGTGGTATCATTATTTAATAACAGGATAACCTCGTAAAGATGTATGAATATCCATTTGAAACTTTACTTGCAAATGACCAAACTTTTTAACGCCGCGATAACCATCCCACGGTAAATCTTACTAATTTAGACTTACTTTACTTTTGAAATTGACGTTTGATTAAGTGGCCACTTTGACTGTAATTAGCTATGGTTTGACAGAATTTTAAATTTAAGACTTTAGAATTCTAAATTCGAATAATTTTTATATTTAACGCTTGTTATTCCTTTTTAGAAATCAGTGATGCGTTTGGTTTTTTTAGGATTATGTTTTGTTCTGCAATATACTCTGTAGTCAATTCTATACTTTATAACCGTAGTCTCGGATAAAACTCTGTTATTTTTTAAATATAAGTTCCGATGTAGAAACTATGAGCCTCAAACCGTATACAATATCAATAAGTGTATAAGTATATACCTAGTACTACTAACGAATGAACTGAGCATTATTGGTTTAATCGCTTTTATTCGGCAACTTTTTACCACTTAACCAATGAACTCTACGGGAAAATTAAAATATTAAGAAAAACCTCACTGCTGACCGTATTGTTAAGAATTGCAAATGATAGGGAAGAAGGAAGCGAACTGCGCCGGATTGCACCAAACGCAAGGTTTGAATTTTAATCCATCCATTATATTACTTACTTACTTATCTTCACGCACAATCCCTAACGGGGTAGCCAGAGAGAACAGATCGCCAAGTGTCACGATCCTTACATACCTCTTTCGCTTCTTTCAGGTTCATTAACTTCTTCATACATGCACGTCTAGGTATCCGAGTACTCTTGACCCTCCCCTCTTCGAGCAATTTGCTCACATGGTCTTCGAAAGTTAGTCTCGGTCTACCTCGACACCTTTTAATATTTACTTTCGCTCTATATATTTTCTTCACCATTCGGTCTTCACTCATTCGTTCAACGTGCCCAAACCATTGGAGTACGCCCCTATCAATTTTTGTGATAAGGTCATCTTTCAATCCTGCCATATTGCGAATCTCTTCGTTTCGCTTTCGGTCGGCTATGGTAACGCCACACATTTTACGAAGAGATCGCATCTCCACTGCATTCAACTTGCTTTTATGCTTCTTCTGGCATACTCAGGTTTCGCTGCCATATAACAAAGTCGGTACCAACACTGCGTTATGTATTGCAAGGCGTGCACTCTTCACCACGCCTTGCCTTTTTATAATGCATCCATTATATGAAACCGATTTTACGGATCGGACGGACGGACTTTCATTTTTCCGAACTCTTGCTCGGAAAATCGGAAATCGAAAAATCAACGCAAGATAAATATTTAAAAGTTGAAAATAGCCTTCGTTAACTATGACATCAGGACGTCAAACACCTCAATCCCCTCGTAACGTTGTGAATTAAAAAGATAAAATTCGTAAGTTTTTTTTTTTTTTTTTGGATAGGGTGACAAACGAGCACACAGTCCACCTGATGGTAAGTGGATGCTATGGCCCGTAGACATCTACGTCTATCCTCGATTACGAATCAGAATGCAGATGCGTTGTCATCCGTGAAGACTCAGATGGAATGCCTCGTTTCCAGTAAAAAGGGTCTCCGGTTCTCTACGCTCACCATACGAAACACAGCAGCATTAAGCTATTATTTTCCGCTGGTATTCTGTGAGAGCGTGGTCCTTCCCCGGTCGAGCCGACCCATTCGTGCTACAGCTATACTACTAATATAACTGCGGCATGGCTCTACTACGTAATAAGTTTTATTCATTATGTACCATTATCATTACCATTACAGCCTATTAAAGTCCACGGCTGAACACAGCCATATTTGCCATATTTCCCACGCTTGCTAATCGGGTTGACAACCGCCGGTTTTTATTTTTAGTCGTTATTACGAAGACGTTGTTGTCCATCTCCTGATATGTTTCCCTCTGTGATCTCTTGCGACACCCACGGGATGATATTGGGTAGTGGATATTCATGATTATAACACCGCCACTACTCAGTAATTTAGTGTGTAGTATTCGCGTAAATATGAGAAATCTTTTAATCCATCCATTTCAGTCTATAAAAGGCCGTTGGCCGCTGCTGAACATAGGTTTCTGCAAAGATTGCCTCATAACCTGGTTGGCATTCGCAGTTTTTAATTTTCAACTGACTTTAAAAAAAATAATACCACTGTATTTTTTTCATGTGTGTACCTCAAAACGTTTTTCTAGGTGAACCGATTTTGATAATTCTTTTTATATTTAAAAGCTGGTGCTTCTCATGTGGTCCCATATACATTTGATCAACATCTGACCAGTAGTTTTGGAGTTAACTTTAATAATGCGTATTTAATTGACTTCGACTACATTGATGATGTTCTCATTTTATTTATATTGAAGTCGGTTATGTAGTTTTTTTATTTTTACCACTTGTCTAGTTGTTATTTGAAAGACGTTGTTGCCCATCCTCATGTTGCCGCAAAGGAGAAAGTCGATCTGCAAGGCTCTTTCTTCCCGTCCAACTCTACTCTCGATGACGGGGGAACACACCGCCGACCACACAGTGGTGTGAGTGCTCCATGTCGGATGTGCGGTTCACACAGCGCTCGGTTCGCAAAGCACTCCTCTCCCTGGACATCAACAAGTCGAGTGGGCCTGACCGAAACCCCAATTGTGCTGAGGACGTGTGCTCCAGAGTTGGAACTGGTTCTAACGGGTCTTTTCCAGTACTCCTACTCCGTAGGCGTAGTCGAAATATAATAGTCGAAATCATGGAAGATTGCTTTCGTCCACCCGATCTCTAAAAAAGGTGACCGCTCAGATCCGTTTAACTATAGGCCTATCGCCATCACCTCCTTGTTCTACAAAATAATGGAATCCATTATAAACTGCCAGCTCATGCGGTACCTTGAGGATCACCAGCTAATTAGTGACCGCCAATACGGTTTCCGTCGGGGTCGCTCAGCTAGTGATCTTCTGGTCAACCTGAATCATAGATGAGTGAAGGCAGTAAAGTCAGATGAGAAGGCATTCGCCGTTAGTTTAAACATAGCGAAGGCCTTTGATCGACTTGGCACAAAGCGCTTCTTTCTAAGCTCCCTTCCTATGGGCTTCCCGAAAAATTGTGCTATTGGATCACTAAATTTCTTGCAGATCGGAGCAACAAGGTCGCAGTAGATGGTGTATCCTGCAATTACAACCCTATTAGTGCTGATGCTCCACAAGGCTGCATGCTATTACCAACGCTGTTTCTTCTGCATATTAATGATATGTTGCAAACAGGTAACATTCATTGCTATGCGGATGACAGTACTGGTAATGCTCTATACACCGGCCTCTTCAATATTTCTCGGAAAAACGTCGCCGAGTACCGGAACAAAGTTGTGTCTAGGGCGTCTAAATCTAGTCCACTTTAATCCCCAGAAGACAAAAGTTTACATGTTTACCGGTAAAAAGAACCCCTTTACCAATACTCCTCAGTTTCCAGGCACTCCCCTTGTCTGTCTCAGTCTTGTCTCTGCCGGTATCGAAATCCTCTGCGACGACATATCGAATGATGTGCAGAGTTGTGGCCACTTGAAAGATAAGGCTAAATTGGCCTCTAAAAAGCATGGCGTGCTCAGCAGAGCGGAACATTATTTCACGCCCGCACACCGCCTGCAACTTTACAAGGCGCAGGTTCGGCCTCACATGGAATACTGTTCCCATCTCTGGGCTCGGGCTTTCCAGTGCCAGCTCCTTCCACTTGACCGCATCCAGCGCAGAGCGGCTCGAATCTTCAACGACCGAGTTCACGCCGGTCGGCTTGATTCATTGGCTTTGCGAAGAGATATTGCACCCCTTTGCATTTTCTTTCGCATCTACCACGGGGAGTGCTCTGAGGAATTGTTCGGATTATTTCCAGCCGCCAAATTTCACGAACGCTCATCGCGGTAAAACTCCTGATACAATCTACACCATTTGCAGCTTGGCGGTCCACTACTGTACCTTTTACTGGGAGTTTTCTTCATTGTACGACCTCTCTGTGGAAATAATTTACCACTGGTAATTTTTCCGACTTGGGGACCTTCAAGAAAAGAGCTTCTTTTTAAAAGGCCGGCAACGCACCTGCAATTCTCTTCGTGTTGCAGTTGTTCATGGGCGGCGGTAGTCAGTTATCATCAGGTGAACCTTATGTTCATTGGGCCCTTCTCCTATAAAAAAATATTTAAAATGTTTCAAAGCCTGAAGACCTTTTATATGCCACGCTCAGCTATATTATAGTTGTAGTACGAACGGGTCGGCTCGACCGGGGAAGGACCACGCTCTCACAGAATACCAGCGTAAAATAGTAACTTAGTTCTGCTGTGTTTCTTATGGTGAGTGTAGAGATCTGGAGACTCTTTTTACTGGAAAAGAGGCATTACGTCTTAGTCCTCAGGGGTGACGACGCATCTGCGTTTTGATTCTTAATCGAGGATAAATGTAGATGTCTATGGGCACAGCATCCACTCCATCAGGTGGACTGTGTGCTCGTTTGTCACCCTTCTTCTCTAAAAAAAGACCACCAACAGTGGGGCAGTATTCCTTGCTTTTAAACCCTCTCAAAAACGAGAGGTCGCCTGTGCCCAGCGTTGGGACGTATCCTGCAACTTTTTTATTCGACTTTGAACAGTTGTTTCTTATTAGTTGTGGCTTATATAGGTCGAGCAAAGAGGTCTACCAACCAACAGTCTGGGAAGTCTGCGGTTTGTGATCATATCCTAGACGGCACCCGCCATTACATCAGATTGATAGATCACAAATCCTCGCAAAAGAACATCGGTTTCTACCAAGGATGATATGAGGCTATTGAAATTAAGAATATTCTAATTTCAATAGAGAAGGAGGCCGGTACTACCCGCTTGGAATCCTGTTATTAATTTAAACTAAACCCAAGCATACCAATGTAAATCCAAATTCTAAGAC